ATTGCAAAGGCGTGTGAAAGAACGGCTTCGGTGTGTACCATTGATCCAGTTTTTGTGGGAGGGGGACTTCGTGATCACAATCACAAAGCTACAACCAAAATGGATCCGGAACCGTTGTAGCCTAAACGTCACCAGTGATGAACATTGTCATTGTTCATAATTGTAAATCTATATAAAAAGATCTGTTCTGAAACCGAGAACCGTGCGAGAGAGTAAAACCTTGGCAGCCTTGAGTAGCCGCAAAGGAATCTGTTTGCGTTTCACTGTCCAACAGGAGCAGTAAGGACGAGAATAAAACGTTATTCGTGGAATGCAGTGGCTCTTGAGTAGTTGGACTTCGATGAATCGACCGTGTAGAGCTGTTGTCCGTACTCGCGGTAGCCGCCGGCTAGTGTTTATAACTTTATCATTGGATTCGTCGCAAAATAGGCTTTGTAGAGAGGAGAGAAAAAAGTCTGTTCGAGGCAAGCGCGACCCCATTAGCCAATATGTGCGGAGAGCTTCGTCAATGTCTGTTTCACAGCCACGATGAGAATAGGCAACGTGCGATTGCCGTCACTGAGAGGTTCTATTGGTTCCTGTGAAAATAGCATGGGCAAGGCGAGACAACAGTGGGTAACAGGAGGACAGTGAATATCGTTTGCATAGAAGTGAAGTGTGAGTAGGAGTGCCATCATTGGTCACTGCAGAATCAATCATGGGATTCATGGCGCGAGCATCCATCAAATGCTACCATTAAGTCACCATCAGGTAGAACAATGTAGCCGCTTCATTTCCAGTAGTTTTTATTGTCGCATTGTCACGATACATTTTGGATAGCGACCAATTCATGAAAAGTACAGGTGGTCGCCATATATGTAGCACTGGAACGAAAGAACAAGAAAGGAGCAATGAGAATTGGTAACAGGATGTGAGCTTGCATCAGTGTTGTACGGCGTGCTGGAAGGTGTAGATGGTATCCACGTGTGGGTGGCTGATAGTGTCAGAGGGCACGCAAATGAGCAGCACAGCATGACAAGGGTGGACACAATTGACACCGAGCCGGCGGCTGGACAAAGACTCGCACATGAACATGATTGGCACGATAGTATATTTCGAAGAGCTGACGAGTTTGTAGTACCTGAGTTACATCAGTAGCGTAGTCAGCCAATTTAACATTGTTCATCGTTCAGCCTGTGATAGACGTTTCTGATTTGAAGACTCAATAGTAAATACTAGATGTTGACAAGTCGTTCAGTGATTATATAATTTATATGTGATACAAGAGTACCGATCACCTTCGGACGTCGCGTGTCTATACTACGTTCGCCGTAGTCTTCTCCTCAGCCTTTGTAAGAAATAGCGCCCGAATGTCTCTTCGACATCGCACTCTCGATAGCGCAGTGTAAAGCTGATTGCGCGAACGAATTTGTACGAAGGTCCAGTACCGCATTCTCGAGCGTGAGTCCTTGACATCCGTTGAATGTGGTGGAGGCACAGGTGGAGCTCAGCACAGGAGTATGTAGTTAGGAGGATAATGATCGATAGACGTCAAGCGCACATAGCACTAGACCAATTTAGAGGACAAGTGGAGCTCAGCACGAGCACAGTTGGAGCAGAGACAGGAGAATTGGTTCCGCGGGATCAAACGTTTCGTCCTTACATATTGTAGATACGATGCACAGATAATCTTAGGAAGACTAATTAGTGTTGAAATCCGGCCATGCCCCGTGTGTCTGACCACCTGTGTGCTGTTTAGCATCTGAGTGAGTCTAGTAGCCAGGTGATGCACCTTGCGCTCCCCACGACGAATGAGGGACTCCGTTGAGTTGTCTGCGTAACTCTTCATTCTGACGAGTGAGCTCTCTAATTTTCTGTGCAGCTGGAGTGTGGGTTAGGTAATTGAATACTGACAGAATGAATTAACATGCCTGCCGTCAGTGTTTCATGGCGTTTCGCCGGGTCAACCCTCCCCGCCGTCACTTCACGAATTGCTTCCTGAAGATCCGCGAATCCCTCTCCCTCCTTCTCTCTGTATAGGCGCTGCTGTTCTGCCTTGCTCTGAGGCGATTCAGTTGAGTTTGAGTTGAAGGACATATTGAAGGTGTTGGGCGTGCTTCGAGTGAAGTGTTGGGTGAGATTCGAATGAAGTTTGTGTGCTTTGAACGGGTTCTCTGCAGACTATTTATTCATTGTCGTCTCCACGAGCACAGACTGTTTAACGTTATCCATTATAGTTCATCTTCGAGGATATTGGACGCCACTCTACAAGCAATATCAGAATCGATCGAGAGTGCGTTATACTCCACGTTGACTCAATGTCTGCACGTCTCCCCGCCAGTGCCACAACGTACATGGATCGAGCACAAGAAGAACCTAGTTGTCACTGAGACACGCCATCAGCCTGTTCACGGGTATCAGAAAAAGTGTTTACGTACCTTGTTTAATTGCGAAGTAGAAAGATGAATATGACTGTCATATGATAAAGTAAGTGATTCCGTAATTCATGTCAACTGGCGATCGCCGAAACATTATCCGTGTTGGATCATTATCGATGGCCTGTGCTTAAGCTTAAAGATCACTTTGAGGACGAGTACGTGCTCTTTGTTCTAGTTAGCAGTGTCCCGTGGAACATGGAAATCCAAGCTTCAAGCACGGATCAATTGCACTTACAACTTTAATTTATTCCGATCAGCTTTCCGACTACTACTATCTTGTGATTGTTGATGAGTCGGATCGATAAATCATTGAGCCTGCTGCAATGCGATGTGCATCGTAGTGAAGCTACAGTGAGCCAGAATTTCCACAACGGGTAGTGGCATACCGTGTATGCGGCTCCTTGTCCTAAACGTGCTTGCATGAGAGACTTGGAGCGGACTCAATCGGCCAGTGCCAGAAGTAACGCGATGGCAGCTGGCTCACCTATCTGAACATGATAATAGCTCCGATCGTCCTCTTTGGTTCATCAAGGTTGTAAACTTAGCCCCACTAACCCATTTTGTTTTTTTCGCGAACGAGTGTTATAATATTGCCGTGCACGTGGGGAACAAGCAAGCGAGAAAAAGATTAAACCCACTTGATCAGACATTTTGAGGAAATACCTTGTATACACATGGTACCGGGTGCAGTGAATATTGCGATATCCCCGACTTTTCACGAATGTACTTAAAAGATGCGTGGGAATCCTTTCGGACCGATGTCGGTTCGTCGCTTATTGACTCCCGAGTCAACAAACTCCATCAAACTTGTGTTCTGCGTGCTGATACCAAAAGACAATCAATGCAATCATGTCTCATTTCACTTCTCGAATCTCTTGACGGCACCCGTCCCACCTGCTTGCACGAGATAATGGCGTGCTTTGCATTTCAGAACTTGTATGATCCTGAGGTGGCAACCACTACTTACTCCTTTTGTCATCAGCGCATCTCTTACTCTCGATTCAGCAGCTATGTGAGCTTCCAAAGCCATGTCTTCACCCAGCATGTGTTGATGATCTTGCTTGCCATTTAAATAAGCTGAATGCCCAGATATGTATTTGTTGATTGGCGCTAGGCTATCCAAGCTCTCTCATCGAGAAAAACGTGTGATGCACTTGCGCCAATCATTTCCTGCGACGCGCACTATACCTATTTCACGCTGGAGCGAGTGTTTTGGGTGATGTTTATTCCGTTCTTGAGCTGTCGGTCACTCTCGGTCAAGGTTGTTTTCTGTCAGGTTCTCGCTCATGAGGTCAATTAGCGTGTTTGTTACTGAACGTGACATCAGAGAACACATGAATCCTTGATATTATAGCCATGTCTCCTTTGTAGCCAGTGAGGAGTGCCAGTTATCCCAACTATTGTGCGCATTCTCATCAGAATCAATCATAGGACATTGTCTCATGCTCTGCCAAGGATATATCAGCCCATCTAGAACGTGAATAGAATGTGCTAGCGGAGGTATGAAATAGATGAAGTTGTTGACTTGACCTGTTCATGTACGAACTCATACACCAACATGTCTGCTTAGAAGGGACTACTTTCCAATCTTGCATTATTTCAAGCGCTAATTCTATGTCGAAGTTCCGATTATACAAGGTACACTTTCAAAGGAGATGCTCGACACAGTTTCGAGTCGCCCATCTTACACCCCTACTACATGCAAGCATCTTGATCACAATCCAACTGCTCTTCACCTGCAAGGTACCTCACATATCCTATTTTCGGAGGACAAAATAATCGTTGATATCATATTCCTGTATATAAATGATGCATCGACGAATGCTAATTACAAAAAGAACCGCGTAGCGGCAATCACTTGCACGATCATGCCTTTCAAGTTCTCCATAAACACACTTCCTGATCATTTATTCACTGGGGTTTCAACTACATAGGATCGATCATACTGTTGTGCTCTTTGTGTCTTTAGGGTTTGCACTATTAACAAAAAGCCGACGCACAGCTGTCATGTCATCGAGCAATTCATATACAGTGTGTTGCAAATGACTTTAGAGGTGCACGAGAATTTTTTTGCAAGCTTGGTGTTTGTATAATAGTCCGTAATAGCCAAATGCATGACTTTTGGTCACATCAACGATTCGAAAGTTCCACCTTCCCAACCACTGCTTCGAGTGTGGAAGGGCTACATCCAAGGTCACATGATACAACAAAATTTCAAACCCAGCATAACCTTATTCCCCTCACACTCTCAGCAGTGGCTGGAAGATAACATTTGTAAACAACATCAGCCACAGTGGCTGAACCAGCAGAACGTGAAATTTATTCATGTAGAACGAACTTAGGGTTAGAAAGAAAGAGGTGGAAATACTCTGGTCCGTGAGTGCATAGATCCATCAAGAATAACCATGTGTTGAAACGGTCCTGTCTTGTTAGGTTTCGGGTGACTTCAGACTCGGAGTGGATGGATAGAAGATCCTTCCAAGTTCTACAGGAACGTAAGTCCTGTTCTATTGCTTGAGTATTCAAAGCTGACTGCCTCCAGAGCTCTTCGGAGCATTTCAAATCATCAATAGTGATACCATGTCACAGTGGAAACATCAGGCTGGAGGTAAGGTGTTTCAGTGAATCATTTGATTTTTCCGCGACAGGAAGGTGAGATTTGAGGTCAACATCAAAATTGTCATAGGCATATGACATGAGGAGACTCTGACCAAGTTCTCGCATCGCATTTTGTGATTCGGCTGACATAGATTTCACTGCAGCATGAATGGTGTCTGTAGATATTGATATTCCGATGCGAGCAAGAGTGTCGACGACATTTTGCGGTGTGTGCATCGACTGCAAGAATATCCTGATGATGCTCTGTAGTGCATTGGATTTCCAGTTCGTACTCTGCATCATGATACTCAAAATCACGACCTTTTTCTGATTTAATTAATATCTAAGACATTGACATGCGAGCAAGGCATTATACTGACAATGTTACATATAGTGGCACATCTATTTGTGTGAATATCTCACTTTGAGGCCACTGTATCCCCTTCAGAGGTGAGTGCAGTCCCAATAATAGACATTGACAGCTTCTTCCACATCGCTCATGACCACGTCTTCATTACTTCCCAACCTCTCATCCTCGCCGAGTAGAGTCCCAAGCAATCCCCACAATCCTGGTGCATGAGACTTCATTGTCTGTGCGGTCTCCTCGATACTGAACTCTTCAAGTTGTTGCATGTTTGCACTCGATGCCCCAAAGTGCGAACCATTTTCTTCGGAAGCCATGGTGCGCACTTCACGGACATATACCCCTTGTATGAGTTGGGTCACTGTGTGTGCTGAGTTATATGGTCTTGAAGGATGCTTGATAATTGCACTGATTAAGTCTTCTGAATGTACAAGGAGTTCATGGACATGTGGATGGTTGTTGAGCTCCTGGCGAGTGAGTAGCATTGAGAAGAATTGAAAAGGCTTGATTCCAGCATCTTCAAATGTAGTCAATAGGTATTGAAATGAATGTTCCATTGTATGACTGTCAACATCAACTGTGACATTAATGTGCTACTGTCCTGGACTCAATTGTAGCACAAATTTTCTAATACAAAATACCTGCGTCTTTCTAACCCTAAGTTCGTTCTACATGAATAAATTTCGCATTCCACTGGTTCAGCCACTGTGGCTCACATTGTTTACAAATGTTATCTTCCAGCCGCTGCTGAGAGTGTGAGGGGAATAAGGTTATGCTGGGTTTGAAATTTTGTTGTATCATGTGACCTTGGATGTAGCCCTTCCACATAGTGTCGTGGGCAGAAGTAAATTGGCCTCTCGGCAGTTGGCAGAACGGCAGAGCGGCAGAATGGCAGAAGTCGGCAAAATGTATTGTGAGCATTTTTAGCTCTTTTCAACTATGTTTATACTATGGCAAAAATAGTTTCAACTACTACATCGAGGCTATGCCTTCTGACGTCAAAAGTGCATCAACATTCCACCCTGATATATTGTTTGAGCTTTGATTGAGTACCTCAATCTCTTCAACGAAGCCAGTTGGTGTGACACCTTTGTTAACCCTTTCTAGCTCACTCCAGTCAACAAGGCCACCATCCAGAACATCCGGCACATCACCTGCAAACAAACTACCGCTTGCCTCATCATTTTCTCGTGCTTGGCCAGCCTCCCGTGTCTTGCGCTCGAATCTTTCAAATTCATCCACCAACTCCTCATCTGTAATTGATTCCAGACCCTCGAGATAATCCTGGTCATCAGAGTCTGTTGCGAGGGGAGGGATCCATGCAAATGATCTTTGTAGCTTGTCAGCGAGAGCAATGTCAAGTCCATTTTTTTGTAGCAAGGTAGCCACAAACTTCTGCACGAGTACGATCAGGGGCATTGGGACATGTTTTTTGGTCAATTAAATGTTTGAGATGGTTATCATCATGGCCCTCAATGGATGCCGAGCAGTAGTTGCATGTGAAGAAATAGCGGTTTGAGTTGTTTTTGACCTTCTCCCCAATAACAAAGTGGTCAGACACAAGTTTTCAGACGGGATGGCCCTTGGACTTTGAGGCCATGGTAACAACCACCAAGATACATTCTAAGTATTCTAACATATGTCAAATTTTTACTGTTTGTTAGTCGGAACAAATACTAGGTCATAATATTTCTGCTGACTTCTGCCAACCACCTTTGACCCACTGCCGGCAATTGCCACCGGCAGAATGGCAGCATTCTGCCAACAACACTACTTCCACACTTGAAGCAGTGGTTGGGAAGGAGCCTGCATTGCCACCAGCTATTGCGACTCATTGCCAGCTCCTAGCGGCATGAAAATTGACCAAGTGTGACAGAAGTCACACATCAAAACAAAGGAACAAACAAAAGATTGGCAAATTTTTGGAAACAGGACTCTAAAGTCATTTGCAACACACTGTAATACAATGATCCTGATATTTCCGATTCTTAATATTGAAAAGCTTAGGGCCCGTTCAGCAACTGGTCATTTGCGTCCATTTCATTTGTTTTTGTTCATTTGTGTCCATTTTCATTTGAAATGGCAAAACGTGTTCGGCAACATGTTTGTTTCGTTAAGGGCCTGTCATGCTGCTGCATAATGCAGTGTTGCACTAGTACTTGTTTGCTCTCTTGTCAACTGAATATCCCACTGTCCCTACTCCGTTTACTACTGTTACTACCCGCCATGCGACCTAAGAAAATAGAACACTCTCTTTCATCTGATACCAGGGAGCCTGAGAACACCACATATTCACTGAGCTCATGGAGCAATCAGCGGAATACTGGCTTAGATAGGCCCATCATATTATGAAAGCAATGGGGATGTCCTGATAAGAGCTCCCGAACCCATCCATGCCCTGTCAAGATAGAGTTGTGCTGGGGAATCTTGTTGATATAGGGCAAGGTGACCACAGCCACTGCAGCAGCTAGCACTGCAGCTCTCTTTCTGCGAGTGTGTTGCCTTAAGAGAGGTTTTAAGGGCCTTTCTTTTTTGTGATGATGAGGAGGTCATAGCTATAGAGCTCGAGTAGCAAACTGATGGTTATCATTCATTATCTGATGTAGTATCTGCAGGTTCGTGCGAGTGTGACAGTGTGTGACACCCGTGGGAGCACTGTTTCACCTCAATGTCCGTTTGTTCCAAAACGAAACGGACGCAAACAAACAAAACGGATACAAACGACCGGTTGCCGAACGGGCCCTAATTAGTCACAAACACTGGATATATCGTACCACAGATCAGCGGACCTTATAGAGATCGAACACGAAATGCATGCTCGTTCTTGAACTTATCTATACTGGGTAGCCGGCATAGCTTAAAGACGTCGTTGGATGTATTGTCAACGTTCTGGCTGGCCTAGATATCAATCCGACTGCCCGCCGATAAGACACCGATCTTTGTTGTCGCACAAGTTGTTGGTGATTATCATTGATTGCAAAGGCGTGCGAAGGAAAGGCTTCGGTGTAATATGGTCGCGATTAATCCAGTTTTTGTGGGAGGGGGACTCCGTGATCACAATCACAAAGCTACAATCGAAATTCGGAACCGTTGTAGGCTTGTAGCCTAAACCTCACCAGTGGTGAACATTGTTCATAATTGTAAATCTATACAAAATAAAGACTCGCATATGAACCGATCAGCCTGTGATAGACGTTTCTGATTTGAAGACTCAATAAGTGTTCCATACAAATGTCAAGTTGTTCAGTGATTATATGTGATATACGATATTCTTAGGAAGACTGATTAGTGTTGAAGTGGGTCGAGATAACACCAGTACTTACTGATAGTCTGGTTCATTCCACAGTTTTAGACCGAATTCCACCGCCGAATGCCCATACCCATGCTATCCACCCATTCCTCATTTCAGAAATGCCCCTGTTCTGGCGAAGGGCAACGGCAAGGCCAACTACCGCTATCGCACCCAACAGAAGGATCCGTTTCTCGGCGGAAGTGAGTAGTCCGAACCGAAGACGCAGGCGATGAAGGAGAACGAGTTTCCTGTGCCTTGGGACGGGGTCTTTGCGTGACTTCGTATTTCGCTCATTTTCGCTCTCTATATCTTCATCTTCTATAAATGAGACAACAACATCAGGGCTCCCAACCCAGCTCTCTACGTCGTCATCACGTTCATTGTCGTATTGTGTAGAGAAACTATTTTGAGGAGGTCTCCACGTGTGCACAACGCTCTTAGGCCCAAGTATGTCCTTAACGCGAAGCTCGGGGAGGGTGGGAGGATAAGTCTCAAGGAGCTGTGCGGCGTGTGTTAGAAGGGACGTAAGTGAAACTGGAGGCTGGCAGGATTTTTGAGGTGGTAATGAGGACGAACGGGACGCAGTGCATGAACTAGAACGCGATGTACGTAGCGACGTCGGGGACGTCGGTCTAGAAAGAAACGGTGGGTTGGGTGGGACTAGTTGTGGCTGTGAGGGCTGGATGTCAGTATTAATTTCGGCAGTATTATCGACGAGTATCTCTGGAGAAACCATGGCCGGAGTTTCCTGAGGCTGAACTGAGAACAAGGTGGGGTGCGAATCATCCGATCGTTGGATGCCCCGAGTATCAGCAGAGTGGCCAGCATCAGTAGTCACATTGGTCTCTCCACGTACAACTTCACCATCGGTGATATTCTTGGACGCTCCATTCTCTGCTAAACAGGGAACTAGTTTCTCTTCGATCATTTGATGTTGTTCTGTCAAAAGCTCGTGGCTTGTATTTTCGCCGGGTGTATCTGAGAGCCGCTTCATCTCCTCTGTGTTCAAGGTGACTGTGTCTTCCTCATCTGGTGATACTGATCGAGTATGTTGATCGGAGGGAACGTCGTTCGCTGTTTCGGATTCATCACTGAGTGAAGGCAGAGCATTCAAAACTGAATGTATCATGCCGTCCTCTTCTTCTGCTGCTAATCGAAGAACATCAGGTTTTCGAACGAGAATAACCTGCACGATATAAGTCAATGATGGGATTACTCAAACAACGATATTTGCCCTAGAATGGTATCGCAGCAATGGCCGTGAAAAAAAGCACTTACAGCGACGGCTAGCCATACCACTGCCAAAGGTTCCCGGCAGAGCAGAAAATCCCAGACATGCTGAATAAGGGGTAGGGTGGGTACTTCGTGTGAGAAGAGAGTGAGAAGATTTGATAGGGCATGGAACGGTAGTGGCGCAATGCTACGAAGCAATGTACAACACATTAACAAACAAGGCGTGGCAAGGCGTGGAATGCTTTAAGATACCTCTCAAGCAACATTGCATATTTAGGGTCGATGATACGCAGAAGATTACGCGCGATCCGGAGAAGTCCCAATACAGGCTCTAACGTGGGTCCCATAGAGTCCCTCAATCGATGGAGGGAAAGCTTTTCTACACAAGGGAGCTGAAATTCTGGTGGAAGAGTTAGAAAGACAACAGTGACAATGTCATGGTATCCTTGGAAATAGTGCAACTTCCGACGCTTCCTGAGGAGGGAAACGATCAAACTGTTGAGAGAAGTTTGCAATACAGTTCGGCGACTATCGTCATTATCGTCTGCCTGTGACATGTTCGAACACTCGTAGAAAAGTAGCCATGAGATACATTGCCTACGGGATACATCACAAAGCTCCGGTCGGTGTCCAAACGTACTTGACGCTCGTCAGGATGGGCCGAATCGTTTGTACAAGGTTCTGGAGAGACCTCTGCATATGGAGGAGGTTCTGACGGAACGCAGACTCCGAGCAGGGCTGGCCTGTGAAGATACGATAAGTTAAGCAGCTCAGGGAAATAAGTAAACAGTTCCGCGCACCAGACACGTGTTCTTTCTTTTCCAAATCCACCAGAGAGAAGGCTCTGAGCTCGTAGCGCGTCCCAGTTTATCGTGTCTTCGTCAAGCATGGCAGCGTCGGGAAGTACTTGGCGTTATGGATACCTTGTAAGCTTGCAAGTTTGCCCTCGTCACCGCAGGTAAAGTGCTTACTAATCAATTACGCTACAGCATTATATGTCGAAATAGTAACAAGTCATTCTAACCATAAGCTTGCCAGGACGGCTTCATCTTGGATATCGACCGCACCCGACTATTAACTTTTTTTGCATCCTTCTGAAATTGAGGAACTGAAAGCTCGTCAGCATTTGTACGCACTGGCAAGTCTGTCAGGATGCGCCATGGTTCTTTCCCCCGTTCTTCCATTTTGGTTTACGGACAGGACACTGTTCATTCGCTGGTTCAATCGACTGCCATTGCTCAAGTTGAAGCACTGCTTGAAAACAACCACATCAAGGATGCTGTCGACCTCGCAAACAACTTCGCATCTGCTCAGGCATTAGATTCTGACGAGGTGCTGTTACTCTATCTGCTTGTCAGACGAATATTGACCGGTCCAAAAGGTGGAAACACTGGAATACATACACCAAGCTATCGCATTCACTCTGTTCTCTCAAACACGTTTCGTGGATGCAGCCCCACACTTTCTTGCAGGTGGACTGGATCCCCGTATCCTTGTATCTTACTTTCCTGAGTTATCGCGGCCATTGTTCACTGATGGTGAAGAGGCGGACATGTACGACGGTATTTCAAAGCGAATGCCTATCGAGGCAAACGTTGATGATCTTAGTGAGTGTTCAAATCTATCAAATTCCCCTTCCCATCCTTCTCTTCCCGACCGTGCGCTGCTACCTCTTTCCGACACCCCGGCACCCGACTCACCCACCCCTCTCCCCCGTCTGGGCGGAACTGATAGTTGCCGCAAACCTAGTCAGGAATTACTCCCCTCATCTCCCGCCCTCCACTCGTGAGGCGCCTGCTACCCAGGAGATTCACAAGATTCTTCGGGAAGAAGCCATAGTGATGATCAAGTCTATCCTCCAAGGCTTCAAGGGACAAGGAAAGCACAAGCAGCAGGAGGTCATTATATGATTTCATGTTTGAGTTATATGATTCTAAAGGAATTGCCAGGTGACGGATACAGCCCTCGCCATATTATTCGCACGATCGGGTGACACCACTTCTCTCATTTCTCACCTTGAAAGCACAAATTCTGCAAGCCTTTCAGCTGTGGAACCTGTACTCCTCGAAGCCGGAGAAGTAGGTGCTCTATGTGCATTACTCAGGGCCAGAGGCGACGAAGGACGAGTGATGGAGATTTGGAAGGGGTAGGTACTGCTTTGACCCTCCCTTTCATCATTCAACAGAGACCGACAATGCTGATGCCCACCTTAGATTGATTGAGGGACTATATAGTGATTCTTCCGTGTCGGACCCCCTGAGTAATATGTTTGCCTTGCTAGAATCAAAACAGGGAAAAGACAGGGCAATGCTTCGAAAATGGGGAGTATGGCTAACAGCACGAGATTCAGAGCGAGGGCTTATGGTAAGCATAAGACGACAGTAGATGTGCGCAACTCATCACATAACTGTGTAGCTTCTTATGTCGACCAAGAGGTCTGCCAAAGAAAAAGACCGAGAAGAGGATCTCGCCATTCTTTCCGAGTTGCAACAGTTACATTCCAGTGCAGCAAGGAAGTTCTTGGAGTGGCTAGTCATTGTGAGAAGGCGAGATGTATGTTGCGCATTTCGTTATGCCCCGCATTTATCATGGAAGCTTACTGTGAATCTTTTTGATAAGGACGCGGAACTCCATGCACAGCTCGTGCAAGCATGTGTCGACGAGCTGCTCGAGTGCCTGCAAGACGAGAGCACTCTGAAACTCTGGCGTGCCAAATGTGCGTTAAATTCATGCTAGTCGCTCAAATATTCAACCCAGTGCATAAATAATAGTCGCTTCTTACACCTCGCAAACTTCACAAAAACATGCACTCTCCCTTCCATCTACGCAGCTTCAACGTCCACAATCGTCCTTCCTTACCTATTTCGCATCGACAGCACCCGACTCTCCATCGAAACGCGCACGGCTCAAAGCTTTGTTTGCTCTGCAGGCCTTATCGGGTTATAATGCTGAAATGATCAAGTCGCAGATTGTTGCTAGCGGCTTCGACAAAGTCCTTGGCTTGGAAGTGGCGTTGCTTGACGGAAAGGTCAGTATTTCTGATACACAATGTTTCCTATTGTCTGAGTTGCTCTCTAGATGGGAATGCACAGGATGGCCCTCCGCGCACTGGCCCTCACGCTACGAGATCCGGTCTCTGCGGAGACATACGCTCGGACGGGGGGCATTGTTGTTCCTTCAAAAGCTGTCGAAGCTTGCGGAATGGGTGAATGGGGCGCGCTGTTCGCAGCTAAGGGTGGTCCTGGGATTTTGGAGAGGGAAAAGAGTTCAGAGGGAAAGGGTGAGTTGGTGAGAATGCTTTTAGAAGTTTATATGGAAGATGGGTACGTTTAAAACCCCACGAGCCTGATCTTGGCACATATGATTGTTTCGCAGGGAGCCCCAGCAAACCACAAGACTACTGAGCTCACAGGCTGCGAGTCTAGATGCTGTTGACGTGAGTGCATTCCTTATAGGCACGAACTCGATGTGCACTACCTTGTCGTTACGACGTCTCATACAAAACATCTACAGGTCATTCCCCTCGTACCTCCAGATTGGCCACTCAGCTCCCTTTCTCCTTTCCTGACTCATTCATTCCGACGTACACTCCACGCTAAGCATGAGGGTCAGATTATCAAGGCAATCTGTGCTGCACAGAACTCCAAGGTCAGAGTCGCCACTCCGCCTTACTCAGTCCTAACCGTGGTTCGCAGGTGTTTGAGGGCTCCTACCTCGTGTTCCGAGAACAAGGCGCCATCATAGAAGAAACAGACGATGAAGAGGATGGGGATGGAGAACCCGAGAGCTTCAATGAGAAGGATGGCCTTGCAGAAAAAATCGCTCTGCATCTGCAGGACCAACAACGGAGTGAAGTTGGTGTCGCTGACATACATCCTCGTGTGAGCAATAGGGAAGCGGTAGACGTTAGATAACGCTGATATTCGTCTTCGCTTTTCTTCTGCCTCTTCGGTTTCTGGCTTAGTATTTATGACAGAGGATCTTTTGAGCTCACTCACCCGCAAGCTATTGCACAGCGAGGAATTTTAATGGAAGCATCGGACGCAAGATATATGTATGCTATCGGAAATTGTGTGGGATGAGTTGTGAGCCATTCGGAATAGGCCAATTAGCTTTGATCAAGGTGCTCGCGCTGAATCGGGATCTGTGAATGCAGTCTGACTCGCTACAACATAATCAGCATCCTGACACTGTTCGCCCTCAGTATGCGCACCCCCGAAATCCCATCCTTTGCTACTCGGTACTCCCTAAACTCGATTAAATACTGTCGGTTATAGCCGGCTAAAGCGGCTATTGTTAGCCAAGTGAGAGGAGGCCCCCTGAAGCTCCCCCATAGGTTTGTCCGAATTTTAGCATTTTTGAGGCCGAAATTTGGCCAAATCTCTGTCCAGACTTAGCATTTTTGAGGCTTTTGGAGGGCCGATGTCTGTCCGAAGTTAGCATTTTTGGTGGTGATTCAGGCGCACTTCAGGGCAGGTCATGTAGTGACTTGGAGATAGACTGCAGCTTGTTGGAATGCTCTTGCACGTCCCTCGGTGAAGAGGGTTATACTGAAGCTTCCAGCAGTGGGGAAAGGATTGTCTAAGAAGCCAGTTAGAAGTTATATGTCCCCAAGCACTAACATATCTTGTTTATGTACTCCCAGTATTGCGCGGTGCACAACATGGAAATGTCACACTTTGGCGGAGGTCACACTGTGTGACCACTGACCTCTATCCGACTTAGCATTTTTGACGGTCGAAAAATTGCATTTTTTGGGGCTGATTTTGGGGTTCTGGACGGACAGACCTTATAGGGAGCTTCAGGGGGCCTGTGAGAGGCCACAATATTACGGCCACTACTTACAGTGCTTTGCATTAAAAAGTTCACTCCTTGATTTGGATGCAACGTGTTTGTATGTATTTGGTGGATGTAAAATTCGAACCATTCCTCTACCAAAACCTCTAACCCTAACCACAACAGCTACTATCTGATTGTCACACTGCCGATCAGACACCAAGTGCACTAAGCCTCGTCGGGCAACAATTGTATGTATTTCTTTTGTTCTCCTTTGATTGAGAATATGAGGCTTGCCATGACAACGAGCAAATGGATATCTCATATGTCCGAAATCTTGGTGAAGTGTCAATTTTGTAGATCACCCGGTGAGTTCAACAAGTTATTTCGGCAACTGTCTTCCGTTGGTCGTGTTCTCTCAAAGTGTGAGGAACGAACACATGATTAGAATGAAGTCTATGCCATTTCGGGAAGAACAACTCGTGCTTTCTCTTCCTCTCCCTATCAGTGCTCATACACTGAGCATTTCGCCTTGTGCTATCATCATTAGCCATACTCTGCTTTAGTCTACTTTTAAAAACATCGTCAAAACAGCTGCAGCAGTTTTACTGAAAAATTGCAATGGATAGACTCCATTCGGATCCTAGGTTTTCAGTATGCCCCAACTTCATGTCCGAAAGGTATCACATCAGTCGGATCAGCATGGTAACAGCCAACGTCACCGAAGCCCAGGCCGCTGACACCCTTCACAACATATGGGTGACCACCAATGAAGACCTGTGCTTACAGTGGCAACAACAACTTGCAGAGGACGACAGACTGAAAGCAGAGAAGCAGTGCCTAGACGAAGAAGATCAGGAACGTCAACGAGCAGCTTTGCAACTTGAAGAAGCTGCAGCGCGTGCGGATGAAAAGAAGAAAAACCGTCTAAAACACATTCCAATACCCATGTGCCCTTGTCCCTTCGCCAATGATGAAGAAGCCTTAATCTTAATTTCAGAGTTCACAATATGCAAACTGGACAAAGGTCAGTATATAGAACTGTACTACTGGACGAACCATGGACTAGATGATGCAATGGTCAACTACCGCACTTGCGACAACAATAGCTTAGTTCCTACCACCAGTGAAGATGGTTCCACAGTTTGGATAAGCTCCGCATCCTCTAAACCAGCATCAGGCATCATAGCGGATAGACACTTATCTCCAGCAGATTTTGCACAAGCCATTCCTTGTATAGTCGCAGCTCTAGAAGAACATGACTGGCCTCAACAATGTGTGCTGATGCTAGCTCAATTCTGGGGAGCCATCATGCTACATTGTTACTGGAACTCTTGTGACCTATTAGCTCAACGAGCCATCATGCTATTCCAGGAAGAGCAACGCAGAGCGTGGCACAACACTATTCCATCCTCAAAAGGTGCTTGGGACATTTCAGTCATCGACGAGCCAACCCTTGCATGCACCTTCAAGCGAGTATATCATGCCTTGCTCATTCGTTCCGATGTGCACAGACAGGATATTCAGGTTAGTACCTCCTTTCAATTACTTTGAAATCTTTCTAATTGCATTTCCTTTTCTCCTCACAACCGCATTGAACCAACCGCTGACCTGCACCAAACTGGTTCAGTGCATGGATGACTAATACTCTCCTATGAGCCCTATGCCCTATGAAATCATTTTTCCTGTGATCTGAAGTCAGACTAAGGCTAAGGGAATATTTTTCGCTTTTTTTCATTTTATGAGATTATATGCGAGTGGACTGAATATTTTTGTACATTTAATTTTGCAATGAGTTTTGCTTAGTCAGCCATGAGGATGACTCAGAAAGATTCTCACACATATCAGGTGACTATGAAAAATATGTTTGCGTAAGGTTACCCTGTGGGAAAGCTTACAAATCCTTAAATACGCATCTTATGTCATTATGCTACCAATCAATTCATCAGCCACAGATTGCACAAACATATGTACACAATATGTAATCACTTTCTCACTCCTTGTCTAGCTGAGTCATCAAGGGACACCTGACCCATGGGCTATACACAGCTCTTGCTGACTCATCATTATACCAACGAGAGTTATGAATATTTACTTTTTGACTCAAAGATATTGTGTGACTTGGTACTATCACAGTAAAGTTACAACTTTAAGTACGAGAAACTAGTAGTATAGCCACCAATTTGTCTATATAAGGAGCTGTTTCTTGCCCAATAAATGCATGCCCAAGTGCCACTTTTACCCTCTCAGAATAAAATTGTGAGTGAAGTGTGAATCAGCATTCAGCAAGTGTGGTTCAAGGTTGGAGCTCACTGTGCTCAACAACCAGCACAACATATCTGAGCTCACTGTGTTGAACATCTAGCACATACCTTGAGCTCACTGTGTCTGACGACTAGCAAGACTAGTTTTATTTTTCTTTCGTTTCCTCTGATTGTTTTTCTGTTATTTCTCTGTTTCTTTTTCTCTCTGTGTCTGTGTCTGTGTCTCTCTCTGAGATTGTCTCTGTGATTGTTTTTCTTTTATCTGTCTCTCTGGAAATGTGTCTGAGATTTGTGACTGTGAAACTAACATCTCTGTTTCTCTGTTTCACTCTCTCTGTCTCTCAAGTTTGAGTGTGGTGTGTTGGTGACTGTGTGTGCTGACCATCTCCTTTGATTGCTGTCTCTGTGTGTTGTGATCGTTGTTGCTAACAGTCTCTGTGAACGTGACTGTGTTGGTGTTTCTGTTGTAGCAGTCTGATTGTGTTGTTGTTCCTTCCTATCAACTTTCTCTCAAGTATCAAAGTTTCAGTCTCATTCTTACCCAGAAGTTTGGTGTTGTCTCTTTTGTCCACTGAAGACTTAGGATAATCTTGTGGGGAGACTTTAGGTGTTGACAGTGAATCGCTGACCTCAGACATCTGCGTGTTATACTGGGCCAAAGTAGTCATTTGCGAGTTAGGCTTTAGCTATTGAAAAGGGGACTTGGTATTGAAGTCCAAGGCCGCCCGTTCCTGAGTCTGTTTGAATACTCATTGTGAGTTCCTTGGCAGCAGGTTCAATATTAGGCTAAGAGTGCTACGGTAGCTCTGACTAGGTCTGACAGTAGTCTCACCTGTTTTGTTCTTGAGGGGGATTATCATTGTAACTCCATACAACTTGCTGCACTAAGTTTGTGTACGAATCATTGTTGCTGTGTGAAGTGTTAGGAGGAGTGTCTGTTTGTATTGTGCCATCTCTATACTGTTAGAGTGACTGTGTCTCTTGATATTTTTGCTGTTGTTTGGTTGTTGTTGTTGTTGATCGCTGACCAATCGGGTTCTGTTTCTGTTATCATTGTGCTTCATATCCATACTGTTGGATTGACTGTTGACTGTTGATTGTTAACTGCTGACTGTTGTGCAGAACTATACATTGCTGACTGTACCTTAGGAGCAAAGACAAGCCACCCACGAACGACCACATTATCAGTCATTGGTATTTGTCTGAATCGCTGACCGTGGAGATATTTGGTTTTATAGGTGTTTATCTTTAGATCATCTATCTAAGAAGACACCGCGTTTAAAATTCAAAATTGGCGTTTTTTTTTGCGTTATGCCTTACCTTGATTGGTCCTTTGAACCCATCAATGTGTTTACTAATCTTTGTGGTACATTGTGTTTGCATTTGCATTTATGCCTTTTGCATATACCAATCTACAGCCACAACACTCAAGGGAAGAGTCGCGCAGCAACCACAGAGATCACTCCTCGCAGCATAGCTCGAGATGTTCGAAGGGATCACCATCTCTGTCTGCCAGGAGGCGCTTGCATTCACCAAAGGACAATCACAAGCACAATGAACCAAGCTCTCACAACACCTCTGGCAACCAATCAGGTTTTCAAGACAGCGCACATGGCAATCATCCCCCAGCCGTGTGCGCTGTCTGTCTGGGGACCCATGGCCACAAATTCATTGAATGAGTCGCCGAACACTTATGGAACAACAAATTTCCAGCCTCATCAACGTGCTCTGGAAAGTCCTTGCTCATACAGAACTCAGACAAAGTCCTTTGTGTCAATTGGCAAAGATCATGTGGATGCAGCAGTCGGCACCACAATGAATGCCATGTGTGCTCCGGGTGTCTTGCCACATCACATGGAGCTCAGCTGTGCGCTCGTGCGCAGAAAACTTCACCCACTCACACCTTATAACCATCGGGAATGGGAGCTTCAACTCTGTAAATACGATCTTCTTAATGAGTATCCCAATCTATCAGAGGGTCTATGGTCTGGATTCAGCCTGTCCATACCCATCGTTCTTCACACGCAATCTCCCCCTAATAGCTGTCACAACCCAATGACGAATTAACGCTGGGCAGAGACTAGGACTCAAACAACAGAATAATCACAAGAGAAGATGGACAGCAGGTACGTCTTGGTATTGCTCACTTGGAGATACAAGAGGTTTGAACTAAAGAACTACTGACTACGATGAGCTACCTATATACACATATTGAAACTGAGATCGAAACTGAGTATGAACTAACTAACCAATTAGAATAATTAAAGGTATTGTATGATTCTATATATAACTATGATGTCATAACATGTGCCGCAGCCGCAGTAAGACTCTGGGACATTCCAAGAGTGTCGCGTGGTATGACGTCAACATCTTCGGCATTGTCCGATAGATCACGTGACTCTGGTAATTCTACAATAGACGCAATAATAGGAACTTCTTCAACAGTAAACATATTCTTAGGAACAGGCGCTGTGACTGGGCGCTTAAAGGATTTAGAATTAAGGAATGAATAATGATTTGTATTTGGAACTCATGACATTACCCTCTCTAGGATGAGCGTCATCGCAAATGAAACTAGGACGGATAAACTTCTTGCGCCATTCCAAAAACTCTTGGGTTTTGAACACCGATTTGTTAATTTTGCAGGGATTCAATGCCTTTGGATTTTGCCAGTGAAATTCTTGAACTTTCAACCGTGCATTCTCAAGGTTTTCCTCAGGTTCCCATGTCGCTTCTTCTATCGGATATCCTTCCCACTCTACTAGGTATTGGAGTTTTGATCTGTGCAGTCTCGAGTCTAGGACTTTTCGTACTGTCCATTCGGAATCACCTTCTGATAAGATCTCTGGCGGCGGACGATGATGTGGAGGTCTTTGGACTAAGGTCGAGGGGGAATGTGGAGTGAGTAGTTCTACATGGAATACCGGATGAATCTGATATTTTGCTGGAAGGTTCAGGCGGTAATTTACATCACCCGTCTTCTCTAGCACTTCAAACGGACCAAGTCGTCGATCGGAGAGTTTCTTATTTGGTCTTTTCTGACGGATATTTTTGGCGTTGAGCCAGACCAGATCTCCTTTCTTGAATTGTGGTGCATCTTTTACTCCTTTATCGTAGAATCTCTTCATCCGCTCATTCGCCATTCACAGCATACTTTCTGCGTCTTCTTCGCCTCTTTCATTACATCCACTCGTTCATCAGCTGCAGGTACTTTAGAGTTGGAAATTGGTGAAAAAGTAAACTCGGGATCGTATCCGTAGAGTACTTTAAATGGACTATGACCGGTTACAGTGACGGAATTATTGTGAGCGAATTCTGCTATCGGAAGCCAGTCTACCCAATCATTTTGGCGGTAAGACGTGAACATTCTCAGATATTGCTCTACTTCTTGGTTTATTCTTTCCGTTTGTCCGTCCGTCTGAGGATGATAAGCCGTCGACATGTTCCATTTTATGCCTAGGCGTTTTGACACTTGTCCCATAAACTTGGAGACGAATTGTGTTCCTCTATCCGATATCACCTGTTTCGGAGTTCCATGGTGTTTCCATACGTTATCTAAGAAAAGTTTCGCGATTCCTCGAGCGTCAATTTCCTTTTTCGTAGGCATGATGTGTGTTTGTTTCGTGTATCGATCAACGACAACAAAAATAGAATCGAACCCTTTGCTTTTAGGCAAATCTACTATCAAATCACAAGTGATTGATTGCCAAGGTCCCGCTGGTATTTCATTTGGTTTAAGCAGACCATGTGGTTGCATTGAGTGGATCTTCGTTGCTCTGCATCTATCACAGCCATCTACGTAATTGTGGACATACTTCGTCATTGAAGGCCACCAATAATTTCTGGAAATTAATTCTAAGGTTTTGGCTCGTCCAGGATGTCCAGCTGGTGGAGAGTCATGAAACATCTCTAATATTTCTCGGCGGATCTCTTTATTGTTTGGAACGTAAACCAGTCCTCGGAATAACACCAATCCATCCTCTACATTCCACTCTTCGACTCCTCTACGCAATTGTACCGGTGCTGCTTTTAGCGTTTGTAGCGCTTTAGCGACTTCAGGCTCTCATTCTGTGCATTGCCTTATCTTTCTCAGCAATTGTTTTTCTCCTTGCACTAGAACTTGACCTCTTTTAGCAGCTTTTACAGTAAAAAAACTCCGGTTTTAACAAAATACGATCAGAATTGTCGTTTTTTACCCCCCCTCTGTGGTCTTCTCTCCGAGAAAGCTTATCGGCCTTATCGTTGACTACACCAGGCTTATGTTGGAGCGTAAATTCATACTCCGCCAGGAACAAACTCCATCTGGCTTGCCTTCTTGTCAACTTTCGGCTCGTCATAAAGTACTCGAGATTTTTATGATCTGTCCAAATCTCCACATGGTGAGGTTTTCCCTGCACATAGTGCCTCCACTCCTCCAACGCTCGAATGATTGCGAGTAACTCTTTGTCATGGATGTCATAATTTCTTTCTGCATCGTTCATTGACTTAGAGTAATACGCCATGGGGTGCCATAGGTCATCTTCCATTAGTTGAGATAGAACCGCTCCAGTTGTGTAATCAGAAGCATCGGTTTCTATTTTCATCTTTTTCTCAATGTCAGGCATAACTAGGATCGGAGCTGATGTAAACCTTGACTTCAGTTCATCAAAAGCATCTTGCTGTTTCTCCGTCCAATCCCATTTGGCATCTTTCCGTAATAAATCATTCATTGGTCTGGCAATGTCTGAGAACCCGAAGATAAATCTTCTGTAGAAGTTGGCGAAGCCCATAAATGCTTGTATATCTTTAACGCATTTGGGTACAGGCCATTTCATTACTCCTTCTACTTTCACGGGGTCCATTCGAACACCACCCTTCTCCACTATCAACCCGAGGAACTCGACTTCTGTCTGTTCGAAGCTACACTTTTCAGGCTTCAGATACAGATCATTCTCTTTTAGTTGTTTCAGTACCTCTCGTACAACTTTTCGGTGTTGCTCCTTATTGCCATTCGTGAACACGAGGATATCATCGATATAGACAACTACGGTCTTTCCATCAATTAAGTCTCTGAATATCTCGTTCATCATGGTTTGAAACGTGGCAGGGGAGTTTGTTAAACCGAAGTACATTACGGTTGGTTCGTGGTGACCAAACAGCGTTTTGAAGGCCGCCTTCCACTCATCTCCTTCTTTCATGCAAATATTATTGTACCCCCATCTTACATCCATTTTGGAGTACATCGTGGCACCGGTTAAAGCATCAATTAAATCTTGAGATCTCGGTAGCGGATACGCATTTTTAACCATCTTCTCATTGAGCTTTCTATAGTCCATCACCGGTCTCAACTTGCCATCTTTCTTGGCCACAAAGAAAAAAGGTGCTGCCACTGGAGATTGTGAATCTCTAATACGTCCCAGTGCAGTTTCGGCTTTTAACCAATCTTTCAAGGTGTCCATCTCCTTAGGTGACAAGGGGTAGGGTTTCGCATTTAGTGGAAGATTGCCATCATCTTTAAGATCTATCGCATGATCCCACTTCTTTCTTTCAGGGAAGTGCTTAGATTCTTCTTCTGAGAAAACTCCCAGGTACTCGTGAAGCCAATCGGGAACCATTTCTTCAACCAATTTCTTCACCTTTGTCGCTTCTTCTGCGACCTTCTGCTCCATAGCAACCGAAGCTTTATATTTGATCCATTCTCCAGGATACTCTTCATCTTCTATTTCCTCAACCATTGCCCTCTTCATTGCCATGTCTTCTTCGTCATCCTCTTCTATAGGAATAAGATCTGGCACTTCTTCTATCTTTTTTTGTTCTTTTCTTTTTTCTTTATTTTTTTGTCTTTGTTCTTTTTTAGTAATACATTTAATCGGGCAACGAGAAAGTGCAAATCGTCCAGCATTCCAGTCTATTTCCGGATTGTGATATCTTAGCCAATCTATGCCAATAATAATGTCATCGCTTCCTAAGTCCGTAACCATGAAGGCTGCTTGATCCTCAACATGGTCACCGATCTTTAGACCTAATTCAGCATAATGAGTCATTGATCCAGCGGCATTTAATGAGCCATCAATATTTTTAACCGGAATGGGCCTTAATAATTTACAGCACCGGACATCATTCTTCTTCACAAACTTCTCACTTATAAATAATGTTGATGCACCACAGTCCACGAGTGCTTTCACATCTGCTTGTCGGTTCTTTCCTTTCAACGTAATCGGAATGTAAAAATGCTCAGATTTGGATCTAATAAATACTTCTGATACATCCGAAAAGGTAGATAGGATGGAGAAATGATTGTTCAGGTCTAAGTTCGCAGACTTTGACTTCGACCCCTCTAAAAACCCTTGCCTTCCTTAGCAGCCCAAGCTTTGAACCAACTTGGAATAGGGTCTTCTTCTTTTGGCACTGTAGTAGCCTTCACCTGCACTTTTGGTGCGACTGCGTCTTTGCAGTTTCTAGCTATGTGGCCTTCGCCACTGCAGCGGTAACATTTGAAAGATCCAGTCTTTCCTTGAGGTCTTGGAGCACCTCGCTGCTTGTTGGCATCGACGTCCATAGCGTCGCTTTCCCTGCTAGGACCAGGTTTGTATTCAGTGGTCCTGGGGCCTTGTTTAGGGGTCCACCAGGTCGTCTTCTTCTTGTCCGCATCTAGCTCTTCGAAATTGCGTCCGATTTAGATCGCATGTTCCACCAGTTTCTTCATGGTGTTTTTGTCCTCGTAACGGACATGAGCGAGTTGTATTTTGACACGGTCTTGAAGTCCCATTCTAAACTTCTGTCGCTGGTCGTAATCGGAAAATGAAGTGTGTGCAGCTTTTTGTCTGAAAGCAGCTGCGTACTCTGGAACCGAGGAAGATCCTTGTCTAAGGGATTCCAGTTCTCTGATCGCTTTTCCTTCACGATCTTCTTGCCCCCACATGGCTTCTAA